AAGGGTGAGAAGGGTCACTGGGAAGGATCACTGGGAAGGGTGTGAAGGATCACTGGGAAGGGTGAGAAGGGTCACTGGGAAGGATCACTGGGAAGGGTGTGAAGGATCACTGGGAAGGGTGAGAAGGGTCACTGGGAAGGATCACTGGGAAGGGTGGGAAGGGTCACTGGGAAGGGTGGGAAGGGTCACTGGGAAGGGTGGGAAGGGTCACTGGGAAGGGTGGGAAGGGTCACTGGGAAGGGTGGGAAGGGTCACTGGGAAGGATGTGAAGGGTCACTGGGAAGGGTGGGAAGGGTCACTGGGAAGGGTGGGAAGGGTCACTGGGAAGGGTGGGAAGGGTCACTGGGAAGGGTGGGAAGGGTCACTGGGAAGGGTGTGAAGGATCACTGGGAAGGGTGAGAAGGATCACTGGGAAGGGTGGGAAGGATCACTGGGAAGAGTGTGAAGGATCACTGGGAAGGGTGAGAAGGATCACTGGGAAGGGTGAGAAGGATCACTGGGAAGGGTGAGAAGGATCACTGGGAAGGGTGAGAAGGATCACTGGGAAGGGTGAGAAGGATCACTGGGAAGGGTGAGAAGGATCACTGGGAAGGGTGAGAAGGATCACTGGGAAGGGTGAGAAGGATCACTGGGAAGGGTGAGAAGGATCACTGGGAAGGGTGTGAAGGATCACTGGGAAGGGTGAGAAGGATCACTGGGAAGGGTGAGAAGGATCACTGGGAAGGGTGAGAAGGATCACTGGGAAGGGTGGGAAGGATCACTGGGAAGGGTGTGAAGGATCACTGGGAAGGGTGTGAAGGATCACTGGGAAGGGTGAGAAGGATCACTGGGAAGGGTGAGAAGGATCACTGGGAAGGGTGAGAAGGATCACTGGGAAGGGTGAGAAGGATCACTGGGAAGGGTGAGAAGGATCACTGGGAAGGGTGAGAAGGATCACTGGGAAGGGTGGGAAGGATCACTGGGAAGGATCACTGGGAAGGGTGTGAAGGATCACTGGGAAGGGTGAGAAGGATCACTGGGAAGGGTGTGAAGGATCACTGGGAAGGGTGTGAAGGATCACTGGGAAGGGTGTGAAGGATCACTGGGAAGGGTGGGAAGGATCACTGGGAAGGGTGTGAAGGATCACTGGGAAGGGTGGGAAGGATCACTGGGAAGGGTGAGAAGGATCACTGGGAAGGGTGGGAAGGATCACTGGGAAGGGTGAGAAGGATCACTGGGAAGGGTGGGAAGGATCACTGGGAAGGGTGTGAAGGATCACTGGGAAGGGTGTGAAGGATCACTGGGATGGGTGAGAAGGATCACTGGGAAGGGTGGGAAGGATCACTGGGAAGGGTGTGAAGGATCACTGGGAAGGGTGTGAAGGATCACTGGGAAGGGTGTGAAGGATCACTGGGATGGGTGAGAAGGATCACTGGGAAGGGTGTGAAGGATCACTGGGAAGGGTGTGAAGGATCACTGGGAAGGGTGGGAAGGGTGAGAAGGATCACTGGGAAGGGTGGGAAGGATCACTGGGAAGGGTGTGAAGGATCACTGGGAAGGGTGTGAAGGATCACTGGGAAGGGTGTGAAGGATCACTGGGAGGGTGAGAAGGATCACTGGGAAGGGTGTGAAGGATCACTGGGAAGGGTGGGAAGGATCACTGGGAAGGGTGGGAAGGGTGAGAAGGATCACTGGGAAGGGTGGGAAGGATCACTGGGAAGGGTGAGAAGGATCACTGGGAAGGGTGGGAAGGATCACTGGGAAGGGTGGGAAGGATCACTGGGAAGGGTGTGAAGGATCACTGGGAAGGGTGTGAAGGATCACTGGGATGGGTGAGAAGGATCACTGGGAAGGGTGGGAAGGATCACTGGGAAGGGTGTGAAGGATCACTGGGAAGGGTGTGAAGGATCACTGGGAAGGGTGAGAAGGATCACTGGGAAGGGTGGGAAGGATCACTGGGAAGGGTGGGAAGGGTGAGAAGGATCACTTGGAAGGGTGTGAAGGATCACTGGGAAGGGTGGGAAGGGTATGAAGGATCACTGGGAAGGGTGGGAAGGGTGAGAAGGATCACTGGGAAGGGTGGGAAGGATCACTGGGAAGGATCACTGGGAAGAGTGAGAAGGATCACTGGGAAGGGTGGGAAGGATCACTGGGAAGGATCACTGGGAAGGGTGGGAAGGATCACTGGGAAGGGTGTGAAGGATCACTGGGAAGGGTGTGAAGGATCACTGGGAAGGGTGGGAAGGGTGAGAAGGATCACTGGGAAGGGTGTGAAGGATCACTGGGAAGGATCACTGGGAAGGGTGAGAAGGATCACTGGGAAGGGTGGGAAGGATCACTGGGAAGGGTGAGAAGGATCACTGGGAAGGGTGGGAAGGATCACTGGGAAGGGTGAGAAGGATCACTGGGAAGGGTGGGAAGGATCACTGGGAAGGATCACTGGGAAGGGTGGGAAGGATCACTGGGAAGGGTGTGAAGGATCACTGGGAAGGGTGTGAAGGATCACTGGGAAGGGTGGGAAGGGTGAGAAGGATCACTGGGAAGGGTGTGAAGGATCACTGGGAAGGATCACTGGGAAGGGTGAGAAGGATCACTGGGAAGGGTGGGAAGGATCACTGGGAAGGATCACTGGGAAGGGTGGGAAGGATCACTGGGAAGGGTGTGAAGGATCACTGGGAAGGGTGTGAAGGATCACTGGGAAGGGTGTGAAGGATCACTGGGATGGGTGAGAAGGATCACTAGGAAGGGTGGGAAGGATCACTGGGAAGGGTGGGAAGGATCACTGGGAAGGGTGTGAAGGATCACTGGGAAGGGTGGGAAGGATCACTGGGAAGGGTGTGAAGGATCACTGGGAAGGATCACTGGGAAGGGTGTGAAGGATCACTGGGAAGGGTGTGAAGGATCACTGGAAAGGATCACTGGGAAGGGTGTGAAGGATCACTGGGAAGGATCACTGGGAAGGGTGGAAAGGGTAGCTACGTGGAGGTCTTGCCTGCATGCTAACTGGACTATCTCTGCTCTCATCAGTCGCCTGACACCTAACACCTGCCATAACTACAGTACTTTTTTATTATGCCACACCTGTATCCCCCCCACACCTTCAACACACATGTGTGTTACCTCACCCCTTCCCCAATACACTAACCCCCCTAAACGCACACGAGGCCACCTCATAGAGGTAGCACACGTGCAACAACACACAGTTGATTGACAGTTGAGAGGCGGGACCAAAGAGCCAAAGCTCAACCCCCGCAACCACAAATAGGTGAGTACACACACATATGCAACATACAATGTGAGTGTGAGTGTGAGTGTGAGTGTGAGGTTCATCCTCATAGTTCCCACATGATAGGGAGCTATTAGGATGAAATTAGATTCTTTTTTATTTGACTTTTGAGAAAGGTATAGGTTGGACAATTTTTTAATTCATCAGGGAGGGAGTTGCATAGACTCATGGGTCCTTTTATGTGCATGGAGTGTTTGCCCAGATTTAGTCTGACTCTGGGGATATCAAAGAGTGTTTTTGTTTCTGGTGTGGTGCTCATGGGTTCTATAACACCTATGAAGGATGTGATAGAACTCGTGACACTAGCTTGGGACTAGAACCGAGGAACAAAGTTTTGTACAGTGTAGATAGCACATGAGAATGTGTGGAGTGAGTGTATGTTTAGCGTGTTAAGGAACTTAAACAGTGGGGCTGAGTGTTGTCTGAAGACAGAGTTTGTTATTGTTCTGACAACGGATTTTTGCTGGGTGATGATGGGCTTGAGGTAATTTGCAGTGGTTGAACCCCATGCACAGATAGCATATGTAAGATGAGGGGGGGGGTAGATTGGCGCGTAGTATAATGAGAGGAGAGCAGAATTAGGAACATAATTCCTGATTTTAGAAAGTATACCAACAGTTTTGTTTAATACTTTTTTGGCTATGTGCTGTGTGTGTGGGAGCTGAACTTTAGTTTCTTATCAGTGTATAAGCCAATGATCTCTCCGTCATTTTTATTGGTAATGTTATCACTTTTTTTACAGTCAAAGCTTCGCTTGACTATTTATATGTTTGGTAGACTTTTTTTACAGCCTCTCCCACCTGTTGTTCAACTTGCGGTAAATTGATGATGATCGACTTGATCATCATCAATTTACTTGATTGTCATTCTCATCACAATCGACTTGAGAATGGTCCAGGACGGACCGGGAGAAACCTTTCCCCATGCCAGGAATACACGTTGGTATATAGGCGGTAAAGGGAACAGGGCAGGACCTGCTGCTTAAGCAGGAGATTACCGTAACAAAATAAAACACCTTCCCTACCCTTCACCACCTACTCTACCCTTCACCACCTACTCTACCCTTCACCACCTTCCCCCAACCACTTGGGCTGGACGGTAGAGCGACGGTCTCGCTTCTTGCAAGGTCGGCATTCAATCCTCGACCGTCCAAGTGGTTGGGCAGCATTCCTTTCCCTCTGTCCCATCCCAAATCCTTATCCTGACCCCCTTCCCAGTGCTATATAGTCGTAATGGCTTGGCGCTTTCTCATGATAGTTCCCTCCCTACCCTTCACTTTCCCTACCCTTCACCACCTTCCTTACCCTTCACCACCTTCCTTACCCTTTATTACTGTAACTGTCTTTAAACTACAAATAATACGTTAGATAAACCATTATGAGGATGGAATCTGGTATTGAGCAAGATTGGGAATTGATATCATTTACAATATTATGCAAAGAGGGGGAGGTATTGTGACGACCCCGACCCGCCCACGACCCGCCCACGGCCCGCCCACGGCCCGTCCACGACCCGCCCACGACCCGTCCACGACCATTCCCAGAGAACCACCAGTCACTCAAAGTTTAGTGACACCGTCTGAGTGAATAACCAGAGTGAGCGACCTGAGTGAGTGACCTGAGTGAGTAACCTGAGTGAGGCTCGAGCCGTCTGATGGCCTCTAACCACACAAAGAAACAATGAGACATTCTTTTTTTTTGTAAACAGATTTACTCATTCACTTACGGAACCCGTGCATCTTCCAATAATCATGGTGGATTCGTTTGCCTTTGCTAAATGTAAACAAAATAGCCAAAATGTAAACAATCTTAAGTGCTTGGTGAAGCCTGGCCTCGAGTACCTCTGTTGTTGTTGATGTTTTAGCTTTAGGTACTCGGGGCTATGGCGATCCCGTGCTGGACCTCTGCTATTGGCGGTATATAGGAAACCTGTAGCACTGTAGTCTACGTCGTCAACTCACAACCCAAGGGTTCCGGGTACAATCCCCGGGCACGACAGAGGCGGTTGGGCAGGTTTTCCTTCTTTACCTGATGCTCCCTGGTCAGTAGAGCATGACACAGGCTACCACCAGCAGCGGGACACATGGTCAGTAGAGCATGACACAGGCTACCACCAGCAGCGGGACACATGGTCAGTAGAGCATGACACAGGCTACCATCAACAGCGGACACATGACCACCAAGATGGCGGCGCACCACAGGATAAGTATGACCAGTGCGATGCCCAGCAAGAAATATCCCGCTCTGTTCACCAGCTGGCGTCGTCTGTCCTGCTGCGCTTTGCGCTTTGCCTCCTTTTCTCTCAACTTGATATTTATCTCCTTCTGCATTCTCCTTTTCTCTTGTTTCTTATCTTTCTTCAACTTCTTCATCCGCTTTTCTCTCTCCTTCCGCGCCTTATCAATCTCCTTCTGCTCCTTTTCAATCTCCTTCTTCAGCTGTTTTTCTCTATCCTTCCGCGCCTTATAAATCTCCTTCCGCGCCTTGTCAATCTCCTCCTGGTACTTGTCAATCTCCTTCTTCAGCTGCTCATCTCTCTCCTTGAAGTCCTCCATTTGGGGGGTAACTGGGACACTGTGGGTGGAGGTGTCCGGTGGCGGCGGAGGGGCTCCCTTGCACCACCGGTGCTGAAGCAGCGAGTAATGCTGTTGTCCCTGAGGGACGGGCCTCGAGCCATCCTTTACCTGCCGGGGAGCCGAGCTCCCACTCGTCGACGACACCACCGGACTCTCCAGGTCCACTATGTCCTTGTCCTCCAGGGCCTGAGAGAGCAGAAGGCAGGCAAAGACCACCAATGCGGCCTTTATGATGTTACTCCAGGAGGTCCCGGCCGTCTGATGCGGGGCGCTGGTGGAGAGGAGCCAGGCGGAGCGCGAGAGGTCGTACAGGTGGGGGAGAGTACCGGCGAGTGGTATCCAGGTCCAGAGGGACCTGACGTGGCAGGGACTCTGGTACCCCAGCAGGTTCCAGAAGGCGTTGGCCCAAGTGTGCGCCAGGCGCTCTTCCGCCTGACGCAGCACCACACACACCACCTCCAAACTCACCCACAACACTAACAATATACTTATGGCAGGTCTCATGATAAACTATTTACTATAAACCATAAAAAATACGCCAAAACTTGATTTAAATTTTATAATTTATCCTTATACTTACAACAAAAAACGGAGATATTTTGAGGATAAACTATTAATGGGTGAATCTAACATCACAAGCAGGAGAACCATTTCTTAACCTGGTTTATGTCCCACCCATAACTTGTGACGTGATCACCAAGAACACTGACACACTAAATGACATCAGTGAAGCAGGGAGAGTGAAAGAGTACATTCGTCGACCTTGAGGTGCTAATCAGTGGGGCTAGTTGAGCGTTGTGAACTTCACTCTTGGAAGGTGCTAGCCAGTGGGGCTAGTTGAGTGCTGTGGACTTCACTGATTTAGCGTGTAACGCACGTTTATGTTACGTTGTTGAGTAGATTAGATACACAGTGTGTAGTGGGTTTTCATATATATTTAGTAGTCTTGGATATAGCAGTGTCGTGGACGTTCAGACGGAGCTTGGAGCAGAGCAGAGAGCTGAGTGAGGCCGGAGTCGAGGAGCTCTATGTGGGAGAGCGTGCCGGCTCGATGGGAAATTGTAAGTGTCTAAACTTGATGGGGAAACGAGAGCGTTGTAGCTCGATGTGGTCCAAGTCTGCTGTCGGCTCAGTGTCGAAGCTGTAGCGTCTTGGGGTTGATTAGAACTGCATACGCCGAGTGCTACATTCTTGACTGTGGAAATTGTACTCTTGGAAAATTACCTATGGAGGAGAAACCTATGGAGTTTACCCTCACGACAGGGGGAAGACGGCCGCCCATCGCAAAAGCGCCACGTCCACACCACCAGGAACAGCAGGGAGGGTAGAGACACCCACACCCCCTGTCGGCGAAAACGGCAACCACCCCAAACTACCGGAGCGATCAGGCGACACGTCCTCACTGCACGGCAGCTCAGGAGCAACTCATGCAAGCTGAGTTGGTAGCAATACTGGTAGCACTCAAAATTATTGACAACACTGAAGTTGACAGTTTAATTATTTCCGACTCTCTTTCCTCACTACGAGCAATAAACAGTTTCCAATCGAGTAATAATATGCTTGTCTTGGAAGCTAGACATAGATATATAAGAATACTTAGCAAGAGGATAAATATAAAAATGTTGTGGATTCCTTCTCATATTGGCCTGCAGGAACATGATAAAGTTGACGCCCTTGCTAAGGCTGCAGTAAATAAAGACAGTATTGAACGGAATCTTGAGTTATCAAATAGTTCCCTTAAAAGTGTCATTAGACGAGAACTCCTGGATGAATTTGAAGAAAGTAGAACAGTGCAAACTGGAACTAGCAGGTCCATTGTTTATCACAATGAAATGTGTGAAGTAAAACAAGTGTATGGGGCAAGTAACAAAGTCAGTAGACTAACAGACGTTGTCACAGCTCGTATAAGACTTGGCTACAAGTATCTCTGGCAGTTCGGCTTGCATAGGGATCTAGATGTAGTGAAGTGTAATGTGTGTGGACAAAGACAGGGACACACACTCCAACGCTATATATTGGACTGTAGTAAAATTGAGCCATTTAGGGATAAATCTAAGATCACTCTGTGTGATATGGCAATCTATCTTATTACCAAGGATAAAATACCTGAAATCCTTGCACTGTATCGATATTTTGCTTCCAATAGATAAACGACATAGGAGATTAAGAAACAAGTAGTGTATTGTGAAGACTAAAAATAAACAGCAGCTCCCTAATGACTCTAATATCTCAATTGTTCAAACAATTCTGTATTAGCGATAAGACCTACCTTCAATGTATAATGACTTACTGTAAATATATAGCTCTTGAAATAGAACATTCTCTGTAACTATAAGGTGGGAAGGATAGATGAAATTGTTTACATAATAATCTAAGATGAGGTCTGATAAAAACCTTGTGCGCCCTCTGTAATGCTTTTTGCGCTGCCGCTCACAGGATGAGTATGGCGTGCACAATAAACTAGCCGCCTTTGGCGGCAACAATAAAAAACGCCAGTGCCATATGTGTTTGAGCATATATTTTTGGCACACCGGCATATATGTTTGAGATTAATGTAGCATGCTGGTGTGTGGCTGTATGAGATATTTTAGTTATTGCATGTTTATTCATGTGTGGGGAGACAGTGGCGTCTCATGGGGGGATGACCATATATGGATGTTCCAATAATGTGTGCAGTGCATCAGCCTAGCGTCACTGATTCACCCCTGTAAATATTCCAGTTTCTTGTATGTACATATTTCTTTAATTACACTTTAGCAATGTTATATGCATATTAGTATAGTTATAATTATGTTCTTAAGTATTACTCTTAGACAGCAGAGTATCTGAGAGTATTCTTGTGTGTATTCAATGGGTAACTTGTAGACACCATACCGTGCATGTTCTTGCCACGTTAGTCGCGTGTGTTTTTTTGTTGTTGTTGTTTTTTTTTTGCAGGGATATTCCTGCGCGGGCTCTAAGCCTCTGGCTGGTCCACTAAGTGTTGCTTGTTTCTGTTTGACTTGGGCGGAGTATGAGTATTTATGACTCGTATAGTCGCTTCAGTAAGATTTTGCCATATGTGTTTAACAACTTCTTCTGCTCTGTTGAATCTAAATTGAAATCTTAATGGGTTTGTAACTGTGCACTGTGTTAAATAATGTTCCAGTGGTCTGTCGGACATTTCACCACAGTGCTGACATTTCCTCTCATCTTCCGGAACCTGTAAGCCTATTTCCCATGCACATGGGTATCCAAGCCTGATGCGATGTAAGTGTACTTCTGTTGCTCTACTGCTTCCTTTCATCAAACTAAGTGGTTCGTAGTTGGTTGAAGTCTTGTACTAACCCGCAGATCCTGATGTTGCAACTGCTGTGTTGTGGTCAATGTACATCTTTTGCATTGCTCTGTTTCTAATTACTTTCTTAATTTGTGATAGACTCTGTTGTATGTAAATGTCTACATTTCTTCTCTTAGTTGCAAGTTTTGCAGCTTCGTCTGCAATGTCATTCCCTATTATTCCCACATGACTTGGCACCCAGTTAATAAGTACCCGACGGCCTTGACGTTTGAATGTTTGCATTACTGATATGACATTTGTGATCAGATGGACGTTATCACATATGTGTTCTTGTTGCAAGGTTTCAGTGGCAGTTTTCGAATCTGTATGTATGATAACATGTTGTCGGTGTTCAGTAAGAGCATGTTCCAAAGCCTTTTGAATGGCTAGCATCTCTGTCTGTAAAGTCGAACACCCATTTGAGAGTCTCCAACTATTTACAGAGTTTCCTGTTTTAACTGCAGCTCCAGTTTCTTGTCCCTGCTGGTCTACTGGTCCATCTGTGAAGTAAGTGAAGTTGTCTGATGCCAAATTTGCTTCTATATGCATCTGTGCAATATTACATAGCAGATAGGGATAAGTCTAGTTCATTTATCCTTCAATAACCATAATCTTAAAGTCTGCTGGCGGAGATTCCCAAGGGGCTTGCATAACAAAGTCTGCATGTATTTCATCGACACCCCCTCTCAGTGATTGTGTTTGTTATATCAAATGTATTGATGGTAAAAATTTATCGCACAATGGGTCCACCTGTTGCTATTGGAGGCTCTTCTGTCCAGAGTTAGTGCTCCAGTGATTATATCTTTAAGTGAACTGATTCTAGGTCTAGTCAATATCTTGGTCAGCATGCACGCAGCAATCCCTTTTACCCTTATTTCAATGGACGTTAGCTTGGTTTCTAGTCTTAGATTCAGTATTTTAGTCCATCTGGGAGCTCCTGTTATGATTCGCAATGCATCGTTTTGAATAACCTCAACGTTTCCCCACTGACCAGGAGAAAGAGTGAGAAAGACAGGCGCTGCATAATCAACTAGGGAACGAACGGCGTGTATGTAAAACATTCTTAACACTTTGTGTCCCGCTCCTAGACGGGGCCCTGTGATTGCTCTCATTATATTCAGTCGTGATTTTGCTTTCTCCTTTAGTTATTGAATTTGCTTGTTGAATGTCATGTTAGAATCTATCCACACTCCGAGATATTGATATTGTGTAACCCACTGAAGGTCAATGTCTTGAATGCGTAGGTGCCTGTCTGGAGTGTTGCCGCCTAGTCTCATTGTCTTAGACTTCTGTGCAGATATTTTTAGCCCTAAAACGCTGCATTCAGATGTTACTTTATCTAATGCACCTTGTGCTTTATTTAGAAGTGAGGGACCTGTAATGACTAATGCTATATCATCAGCATAGCTTAGCAATTTAACCCCTTCTGTAAATGTCATGGTAACAAGGCTTTCCGTAAGGATGTTAAAAAGACTAGGACTGAGGACTCCTCCTTGTGGGGTACCATTCTCATGCAAGTGGTAGTCCGACACTTGTCCTTGCAACTTTACTCTGGCATACCTGTGACTTAAGTAATCTTGAATCCATTCTAGCATTTTTCCCTTTACACCTTTTTTAACTAAGGTGTGTAAAATTGCTTGCGGGCTTGCAAGTTCGAACGCTTTTTCTGATCAAGGAAGATCACTATAGCTGGACCTGAGTTAACTGATCCTAATAATGTAGCTATGCAGTTGGCAGTACCTACTCCTCTAGTGAAGCCAAATATGTGTTTATGCAGGTCTCCAGTCTTCCACAGTAGCCTATTTAAGACCATCCGTTCTTCATCAGACAGGAACCAAACACTCACGTAATCTTTCTTGACCTCCAAGTTGCCTTTTACAACTAATAGGGAACTCATCCTAGAGCAACTAGCTTTTTTTGGAGTCAGGGGGAGATTTGTTGAAATTAATTAGGGGATATTTAAATAACAGAACTGCCTCAGTCATCTATAAGGGGGGTTAAGAGTAGTTATAATGTCTCCTTCGAATAGAGCACACCTCAGGGAGGACTCCTCAGTCCTACGCGTTTCAATGTGCTGATGCTTAGACTAATAGCTGACGTACCTACACATATCAATATGACTGTCACCTGCATAACAGATGACATTTGCGTCATTGCAAACAGTGACAACCGGCTGCAGACTCTTTTTGATACACTTGCAAATAAATGTATTGAATGTAGGCTTAACGTCTCCACAGGTAAAAGATCTAATGCCCCCCCCCAAAAAAAAATCAATAATAAGTCAATAATCGGCGCCTTGAAAACTGCAGGCAATACAAATACCTCGGTGTGAATATTGATAGTGACATTGTGAGTGAACTACAGCTTAAAGCTTAAACAAAGGCTAAGACCTCTTAAATCGCTTGCCGGAAAGCACATTGGTATTAATGTTAAATATGGCAGAATGTTATACTTGATGTTCATCAAAGGTCACTAGTCGACTGCCATGCCCTGCACCTTATTAGTCTCCCCAGCACTAGGCTGAAAGCTTTAGAGAAAATTCAAAATGAAATACATGAGGATAATTCTTGGAGCCCCCAGATGCGCAAGAATCATCAACATGAGGGAGGAACTGAAACTCCCAACAGTATGTGAAAGAATTGAGCAGTTCAGTAATATCTTCTGTGTAAGAGTGATGAGAGATCCATCATCACCCTTATTACTCAGAGAAAAATTGACTATAGTACTGTTTGTAGGCGAGAGAGTGTTGCCAACGCACCAACAGGTAACCTATATATGCAAGCTGGTTGAATAGAAGTGTTGCCAATCTCATCAAACTGAAATATAATAATAATAATTATAGCAATAATAATAATAATAATAATAATAATAATAATAATAATAATAATAATAATAATAATAATAATAATAATAATAATAATAATAATAATAATAATAATAATAATAATAATAATAATAATAATAATAATAATAATAATTATAATAATA